AAATGTATTGGTGATTGGAAAAAAAAAAATCCCATTGTTTTTGCCTACACATTGTATGTCATTTAATTTTAACAACTGAGTCCTGGTGTCCACTACAGAGGACAAAGTATTACATATGAATAAAATATAATTTTTCAAAAAGGTTTTTTTTTACCATTTGTTTATTATGCTCTAAACAATGTGATGACATGAAAAAAAAACTAAATTAAAAAAAAAACTTTCTGGGTCTCAGGAGGCTATTGTTGAAAACTAAAAATATTACTAGCCTATTTCTCAACTGTCTCAAAACAGAGTAACTATCCTCAAAATCTTTATTATTGTTATTATTATTATTGTAACAGACTTTGTTATATAGTACATGACATAATCAACACAGTCTGTTACTATAAGGTTATGATGTTCTGGCGCTCGTTGTATGTGTGTATGCAATGTATTTTTCCCCTCGGGGCTTGCCGTAGATGGGTCGTGCGCACTAGGCTACTGGAGTGTCGCGGGTGTTTGGAGATCTGATGTGTGGTATAATAAAGTGGAGAAGAGTTCAAACTGCTATGTTTATTATTTATTCAAACTGCTACCCTTACACCTTGAAGGATAAGTTCTCCTGCGGGCTATTTTCTCCAACTTAAACCGATACCGTGACTAGGCGCAGTTGCGCACGAATTGTCTATGCACGCGCGAGGTGTCTAGAAGATTATGCGTATGACTTAAACGCTGGCAGACAGAGCAGCAGTTGTAACTTGTAGGCAGGTATATTGATCATTAAATCAGAATTTTGTTGTCTTGAACTATTCATTCAGTCATATTCATTCATTCATTGATTTATGTCACTTGTTTAAGTCATCTAAAAAAATAAAAATAAAAAATAACCTCGATTAGGGCAGCCGCTTAGTTCGCTTATGCCTCGGGCCGGCCCTGGTGGCCATTAATATGTTTATGATAATATGTTCATTTATAAATGAAATGAGGCAGAGTGGTGTTTTATATCTATTTCGTTTTATTGTTGATGAAAAGTGGCAAAGTTGTATTTTACACCATATTTCGTTTTATATTTGCCTATACATAAAGAGATAACCGGAGTAGCCGCGTGCTGAGTGACGCGATCAAGAACGCGCTGTTCCGCAGAAGAACCGGACTCGCCTCCTCTCGTCCTCGGGAGTTATTTCTCCGAAGTTTGCGTACCTGGTATTGAGAAACGACCATTGTTGACCCGCGTTCTGTTTTCTATCATGGGACCGCAGCAAACGACCTGTAGCCTGACATGCACTTCTCAAAATCTAAGATTAATTGAGTGAACATGGAGCAGTTTTTCCGTGAGCGGGAATTGAAAAACCGGGGTGGACCATGAGCGAAGTGATTACAGAATGCCTAGAGTGGAGAAGGAACGTGCTTTCGCTCCACTCCAGGCTTTATCATTTTCCCCTCAGCAGGGTGAATACACATCGTCTTTCTTTAAAAAATAAGCTGTATAAAATATATCAATTTACCGTGTGGTTTTGAGAAGCATCGCGTGACGCGGAATCATGAATTATTCTACTACAAACTGAAAGATTATGATTTGAATTTTTGAGTGACAGGCAAATAGAAGGGTGGGGGCACACTGGGGGGCCAATCAGTTTATCAGGAGGGGCCAGTGCCCCCATGGCCCCTCCCCTGGCTACGCCACTGCCTAACCCCCACCCCTAATCCTACTCATCTCCACCCCCTGATTCTTAAACCCACCCCTAACCCTACCCATCTCCACCCCCTGATCCCTAACCCCCACCCCTAATCCTACCCATCTCCACCCCCTGATCCCTAACCCCACCCCTAATCCTACCCATCTCCACCCCTGATCCCTAACCCCACCCCTAATCCTACCCATCTCCACCCCCTGATTCCTAACCCCACCCCTAAACCTACCCATCTCCACCCCCTGATCCCTAACCCCACCCATAAACCTACCCATCTCCACCCCCTGATCCCTAACCCCCACCCCTAATTCCTACCCATCTCCACCCCCTGATCCCTAACCCCACCCCAAATCCTACCCATCTCCACCCCCTGATCCCTAACCCCACCCCAAATCATACCCATCTCCACCCCCTGATCCCTAACCCCACCCCTAATCCTACCCATCTCCACCCCCTGATCCCTAACCCCACCCCTAATCCTACCCATCTTCACCCCCTGATCCCAAACCCCACCCCTAAACCTACCCATCTCCACCCCCTGATCCCTAACCCCACCCCTAAACCTACCATCTCCACCCCCTGATCCCTAACCCCACCCATAAACCTACACATCTCCACCCCCTGATCCCTAACCCCACCCCTAATTCCTACCCATCTCCACCCCCTGATCCCTAACCCCACCCCTAATTCCTACCCATCTCCACCCCCTGATCCCTAACCCCACCCCTAAACCTACCCATCTCCACCCCCTGATCCCTAACCCCACCCCAAATCCTACCCATCTCCACCCCTTGATTCCTAACCCCACCCCTAATCCTACCAATCTCCACCCATTGGATCTGGATCCAACTCCGCCCCCTGGATCTCATGTGCTACAATGAGGTGCTAATGCAGTTTTCCAGTATCCCTCCGCCACCCCAACTCCTCACTCTCAGTTGTTGCTATCCCAACCAGGTATGGGGGAGTACGAGTTCAGGACAAATTCCTAGCTCGGAGCCCTCCCCTTGGACATCACGCCAAATACGCAATCTCTTTACTCTATTTGGCCATGTAAGTGTGAACTCATGAAATACTATTTTCCAGCTGTTGTTTAAAGTCTCTAATGCTTGTACTTTGTAAAGTATGTGGAATTCAGGAGTATTCAGAGATCTCTGTTTAACTCTGCATCAGTGTACACTTTAATGAAGAGATTGGTGTCGTAACATTTGTGTTGGGCCTGCGTAAGTCAAAGTCCAGGGTCATCTTACACCCACAGTCTGTCCCCGTAGAACAACATTTAAAGCAGAGTTGTCCAAAGATCCCCGTAAAACAACATTTAAAGCACAGTTGTCCAAAGATTGTTTAAAAAATATTATGTCTATAATTATGCACCAGAGGAATGTCTGACAAGTTTTGTAATCCTCTGTATAAACCTACAGGATTCTGTCCTGTCATTTTTCAGTGATTTCATGTCAGATTCTCAAACGTACAAAAATTGTTGCTGTTTTAACCCTTAAAGGGTTAGTTCACCCAAAAATGAAAATTAAGTCATTAATTACTCACCCCCATGCTGTACCAACCCCGTAAGACCTTCGTTCATCTTCGGAACACAAATGAAGATATTTTTGATTAAATTTGAGAGCTGTATAACTACCACATTGGCTCCTAAAGGACTGCCTCTTGACGGCCCAGAAAGTCAATGAAGAAAATGTTTAAATATCCCAAGTGACTACCGTGGCTCAACTATATGTTTATCAAGCGACGCGAATACTTTTTGTGCGAAAAAACAAACAAAAATAACGAGTTTATTCGACTATTTCTTTTCTTCCTTGTAGGCCAGAACGAGACTTCCTTAGATTTCCACGACGCATGCGCGAGAATTGCGATCTGAAGTGGTGTAAGCTGATGTGAGCAGATCGCAAATCTCGCGCATGCGTCGTGGAAATCTAAGGAAGTCTCGTTCTGGCCTACAAGGAAGAAAAGAAATAGTCGAATAAACTCGTTATTTTTGTTTGTTTTTTCGCACAAAAAGTATTCGCGTCGCTTGATAAACATATAGTTGAGCCACGGTAGTCACTTGGGATATTTAAACATTTTCTTCATTGACTTTCTGGGCCGTCAAGAGGCAGTCCTTTAGGAGCCAATGTGGTAGTTATACAGCTCTCAAATTTAATCAAAAATATCTTCATTTGTGTTCCGAAGACGAACGAAGGTCTTACGGGGTTGGTACAGCATGGGGGTGAGTAATTAATGACTTAATTTTCATTTTTGGGTGAACTAACCCTTTAAAGAGTTTCTGTATCTTCGGGGATACTGACATTTAACAGGCTGTAGGGGGAGGGGCATTATTTGGTTGCAGTTGATGAGAAACACTGATGGGGTGATGGGTCATGTAATAAGGTCATGTGACTTTTTGCTATAACATTCCAAATATTTGTATCAAACTTCAAAATGGCAACATACGTGGACAAAGGCACTGGCCATGAGCTAAGTGTTTTTATATTTTTCACGATTATGATATTTTAGAGTGATTTTGTTTTAGAAAGTAGTTTTTTAAGGATAGTTTTACATGTTCTTGTTGATATTTTCAAAATAATCTTCTCACAACTTTGATTATCAGGCATTGAATGTTTGTATCCCGGGGGATACATTGCCCTTATAAGGGTATTTGCCAGGGCTGATCACTCACAGATATTCTCATGTTTTGAGGCCTGTTCTCTACAGATATTGAATGGGATAAAGGTTTTGGATGTGCCAAGATGGGCAGATATCCATCATGTGTCAGAAGTGCAAAGTGAGGCTTTGCCTGGTCAGTGGACAAAATTCTCACAACTGTTTTGTCAGCTTCCATTGCCCATAGAATATATCTGTTAGGGGCACCACAGCAAAGATGGTAGAATTAAAAAAAAAAAAACAGGAAAAAGGTGTTTTAAAAATCGGCACATGAACTGTTTAAAAAGTTATGAAATATTAAATGTATATCCTACATAGGCAATGCATCTTGGGAGAAAAAGTTCAGTTTTTTCCAATTTTTCTAATGTTGTATGGATAATATGAAAAATTGTAGCTAATTAATTGTTCATTAAATGTTTTAAAAGTTGTCATATGAACTATAAAAAAAATAATAAATTGCAAAATGTAACCCATTTTGAAAAAAAAAATGCATGAACTCTGTCATTTTAGTCTAGATACATAGAAAAATAGCAATGAATCATTTTTCCATCAAAATTATTTATGCTTGCCCCTTAAAGGGTTAAAAGTCTGCACTGCTGGTCTCCCCAGTTAACCGGAGGATGACGGTACACATGCACTGTGTGTATAGGGGCTGGGCTCCTGTCCTTCACAAACATTGCCTTGCTGTTGGCAAATATAAACCTAGGAGTTTCCCCACCGCTCCTGTGATATGTCATTAGTTTTACATTTCCATACAGAGGTGTTTGAGCTTTCAGCATGAATCTGGCATTAGCACTTTTGCTTTGTATGTTTTCAGAGACGCATGGTTTCAACAAACAGCATTCTGTTGAACCTCAGCCCAACTTTGATCTGGAGAAAGTGAGTATGATTTTTTAATTGTTTTATTTTTAAAGGGGGGTTTCAGCATTGAATGCATGCTTATCAATTTTAACTAAAGCACGGCTCATGGTTCATCAGCTTACACTGTCAGAAAAACATGTGCAAGAATTGTACAACAGCTTGTCACTTGGGCAGTATAAAGGGCAACTTTGTACCTTATTTACCACGGAAAGGTGCATTTTATTCTGCCCGGTACAAAGTTGTCCTTTTAATGGTACTGCAGTGACAAAATGGTGTGGCCCTAAAGGTTTTTGCTATTTTTTTATTGAGAGTTTATTTATATACAAGAATGGAACTGAGTGGTTTTGATCTATTGAACTTGATGTAAAAACTAATCATAACTCCTGTATTACAGTTTTTCTCAATTGCTTTGGCACATTTTTCGAAACGGTCTTAACATTCTCTAAACTGTGAGTGCAAATGTCACAACTGTTTGCAGGAACTTCAAAACTTTATAGCATGTCTGCAAAATGTAGTTACTCACCCAAAACATTTAATTCATGCTTCAAAACCTAGTTATTTTGTCAATAATTTGGCCAAGGCCACCAAAATCTAAAGTATTTTTGTCATTGTGTGAGCCACACTGGTCAAAATGTTTAGTTGTTTTTTCACCACAACAGTCAACCATGAAAATTAAGGGTTTATTGTAAACAAATCTCATATTTGTTGAGAAAAGTCAATAGTAGGTAGAAAAAAAGGAAAAAACAGTGTTTACAGTGTTTATTTTTGTACTTCATGTGTATATACACAATACAAGTGTATTTACTGACTGTACATGTAAAGTAACTGACAAGAGTAACAAAATTTCACTTTACATTTCATATTTGTGTATTACCACAAATACACAAACAACAAATAACATTCATGGAAAAAAAAAAGAAACAAATTATTCTTGGTGGACATCTTGTCGCTCACGTTGGTCAGGCCAAAGATTTTCATCAACATCACATCTGATGTTACCATTGCCACACACCATGGAAAAAATCTCCTTGAATGCTGCACCCATCCCCTGCAATGATCAGATTTATGACATGATCCACAAGTGTGGCTCTGATTTCATCAGAGACTCTGACTCTTCTATTTCCACCTCTTCCTCGATTATTTCTTCCTCTACCGTATTCTAACACGCCTTCCAATTGCTCTTCCATGAGCATGTTGCTGCAGTTCAGGGTTGTGAATGTCCTCCATTCTATATATATATATATATATACACTCTCCCAAAGTTGATTGGTTAAATGGTTAAATGGTTGATTCATATTAGAGGTAATTTGCAATTCGATTGCGAATGCAATTAGAGGTCATGTGCCAATTTAGCAAACACTACAAACAATGTCAGATATATTTTAGAATAAACAGTACATTCATGTGTACTAATAATGATAATTGAATAGATCGTTTTGAATGTGATGGCTTACACAATAAAAAATGTCTGAGAAGTTCTGAAGTGTTTGATAGTATAAGTGAGAATCGGGTCATCAGTTTTGAACAACAAGCCATATGCAATTATTTGTTGTCCAAACTGCAGACAGTTGTATGTACTCTTTGCACACATGTGCCAAAGCATTTGCAATTTGCTCAAATCAATAAGAAATTCCAATCTGATGTGAAAAAGAAGCGAATTGTTCAGAGATCTGAACTTAATGTTTTGGGAAATAAAAAAAACATTTGAGAACTGAGCCAAAGCAATTGAGAAAAACTGTAATTGTGATATAAGTTTACAGAAAGAAACTTAAACTTAACATTGAATACTGCATCGTGTCAGCTTCTCTTTATGCCACATTACATTTAGTTTGAAAATCGTTCTAGAAATAGGAAATAATATGACAAGGCAAATTCGGTAACACCTTACAATAAGGCCTCATTACCAAAACCATCACATCTTTCAAAAAGCAGCTGAAGATTCGCCTCCCCATTCCATTAAACCAATGCACTTATTTGAATCTATTAGTAAATGTTGAAATTAACATTATGTTATTAATAATGTTAACAAATGGAACCTTGTGTAAAGCTAATTCTTTTGCAGGCACTGTATTTTCTTTAGTAAATATACAGGCTATATAACCATCAGCTGGAAAACTTAGTGAACTGCAAAGCCTTTTTTACTTCCTTTTACTGTCAGTTTGCAGGTGAATGGTACCGTATTGGACTTGCAGATGAATCCGCGCTGTTTGCAAAGTTCAAAAACCAGCTGAAGATTTCTAAAGGTCTTCTGGTACCAAATGGCAATGGAAATGTGAATCTAACCATGTGGACCATGAGGTGCATCATTTTGGACAAGATATTGTTTCATATTTACATTATCACACCATCTCGAAAGGGACAACATTGTAAAACATGTTATATTTGAGCTCTGCGCTAATAATCTGTATATATTTGAACCAACAGGCCATATGGATGCTCCGTCAATGTTTATTCATACGAGAAGACAGATGTTCCTGGAGAGTTCACTTACTTTAGCAAAAGTAAGCTTTCATTTCCTTTCTCAAACATCCTTGTGCTTACATCACATGTTTCTTATCACATGGCGTCAATGTTCACAGAACTGACATCAGCAACTCTCAAAAACTTTCAAATATATTTAAACCAATTGCACACCTTCATCAGATCTATCAGAAAAAATAACAAGATATTATATTATATTAGCCTATATTATATTATATTATATTATTATATACAGCATTTTGAGAATATAGTGCAAAACTGAATAAAATTAAACTAAATTGTAAAAAGTGCTAACCTGTGATTGTTTCTTAAAAACAATATTTCTACCTTTTTTAACACATTTAAAAATGTGTCTGTATAAATTAATGTATATAGATTCAGTGATATTAAATAATATTTTAATTACAATTTTTAGGATACCATTTTTTAGCTTCATTCTATGGCTTTATAAACTTCTATACAATAGTCAACATTTGAAGTTGATCAAAACCTTTCATCAAATTTATACATGAATTTTTAAAAATGAATGCCCATTGTTGTAGGACAATTTTGAAGAACTTTCTTGATTTCTTGAAGAAGGCTTCATGCCGCTACGCGTGGGCTTTTTAAATTTGTCCGTTTAGGACATGTCATTTGTTTAATAAAGACATTTTAATGAAGGAGTGCCTCGGTCATCAGAGATTTCTTTCTCTGCTGTTTCCTTGATGTCCTACCTTGGACCGAAGAGCACCCAGGTTAAACTTTTTTAAAAGGAATTGAGCATCCCACTCATCTTGAATCCATACAACTTTCTTGATCCACTTCAAATGTTGACTATACTTCAATTTTACTATACACATCTTTATAACATTTACACAAACATAAATAGATCACAAACAATGCCTTAATTTAAAATGTACATGATGTGTCTGACCTTTTGTTAAGGGCACAAGACAACAAAAGACATCACAATAGTGGAGACCAATTACACAGATTATAGTTTGGTCCTTAAATACAAGAACATGAACAAAGACTACACTCAAGTAGCTCTTTATGGTAAGTCTGAACTGATGATGTAATAGAAATAGCATATACTGTCTTGGACATACTGATGAGGCATGCTAATTTGTCAGAAACATTGCTCCTAGGACGCTCATCCATACTAAGACCAGATCTAATTGAGAGATTCAGATCTTTTGCTTTATCTCTGGGCTTTTCTGAGGAGGCCATTATCGCCCCAACAGATGTTGGTAAGTTTGCATGTGATGTAATGTAAAATCATAAACTGTTTATGTCAGACTGCCACATTGCAGAAAAGAAAAAAAAAACAGGAATAAGCTACTGGGGCTAATGTTTAATGTTTATGTGACCTTAGGGCCTCTAAAGCTTGCTAAATCAACAAAACACCATGCACACACAAAAGAGTCACTCTTAAAAGAAATATGTTGATCTACAATTTTTAAATTGTACAATTTTACATTGATGTGTTGATTTGTAATTTTTATGTTTTTTAGATCCTTGCCCTATCCTAGAACCAAGGTATGGATTTACCACTTCCTTATATATGAGAGGCCGGGGCTAGTTGTCTGTATAGAGATATGACTACAAAAAGCAAAACATTCCACCGTTATTGCTCAGGAAATAACTTATAGTTAATTTACAGTTGGGTATGTTGTCACAGTAGACTGGTAAACCTGTTTAGTAAGTGACACCTACTATTACGGTGGCGACCAGTAGGTGGCGACAAGTGACCGTCTTTATGAGTGAATCAAATGATTCATTCAAACATACTGATTCATTCAGGAACGACAAACCACTTTGAGATGCTCAAGGAAACGCTACTGATGTGGATGTGTTTGGCATTTGAAAGTATTCTCCTTATTTGAGCAACAGACAATGTAGCCTAGCCTAACTGGTAATATGGTGTAAATAAGTGGCTAAATCGAAGTGATGCTGTTATTCGCAACAACATGTTTTGAAATTGATGTTTTAAAATAACATACAACACAGCTGTAAAAACACGTTTGTGTAGCTGATACAATTGTGTTTCAATACATAGGCCTTGTGACAACTAGCCCCGGTGTCCCTGTAGCTGAAATAGGCTGCATGAGTCTATGTGACGTCGATAATGATGTAAACTCCATGAAAAGCCTTGTTTTATCCAATCTAAAATATCCACCACTGTTCACTCACCTGCAGGAATACAGCAGAAATCAGAGAGGACAAATCTGCACAAACTGTTAATCAGTCAGTCTTTGCCACTGAGAATCTTTCCAAAGTGTGATTGGACAGGATGTTTTTATCGGTAACACACTCGAACTTTATAACTAATTCTTGTATACTTTCACCATCTTTCAGCCAGCCGTGGAGTCAGACCATGGGTTACATATATTCAGTATTGTTACACATTTGGGGAACAGTGTTTGTTTTAACGCAAACATTCATTGGAGAAATGCAACTATGACATCGTCAATGTAACGCAGTTTGTGCTACAACTGTAAGCCAGCAGGTGGAGCTGTTGTATCCAGCCAGCATCACTGTTAAAATTCTGATCCACCTGACACTGATGTTTACTAACAGGCAGTGCTGCTGATAATGGACATGCATTTGTGTGGTTGTTTGCTTAATGTTTACAGAAAATTTGTGACAAATCATTTAAATCATTTTACAATTCCACTGTATTTTCAAAATGAATAATAAAAATGTTGTGTTTTTTTTTTTTTGCAATTAAACTAAACAAATAGGCCTATGCCATATTACAAAACAAATAAATAAGCATATTACACATGTGTGTGTGTGTGTGTGTGTGTGTGTATATACAATGCCATTCAAAAGTTTTTTATTGTTTTTTAAAACAAGTATTATGTTCCACAAGGCTGCATTTATTTTAATAAAAATACAATATATTGTAAAATATAATTTAAATTAAAATAACTGTTTTATATTTTAATGTAATTGATTCCTGAATAGTCAGCAGCAATTACAGTTCACTGTCATATGATCGCTCAGAAATCCTAATATGCAGATTTTGTGCTAACATTTCATGGTAACACTTTACAATAAGGTTCATTAGTTAACATTAGTTAACTACATTAGTTAACATGTACAATATGTGAACAATACTTCTTCAGCATTTATTAATCTTAGTTAATATTAATTCCAACATTTACTAATACGTTATTAAAATCAAAGGTTGTATTAGTTAACATTAGTTAATGGACTGTGAACTAACATGAATGCACAATGAACAGCTGTATTTATATTAACTAACATCAACATAGATTAATAAACACTGTAACTAATGCATTGCTCATCGTTAGTTCATGTTAGTTAATGCATTTACTAATTTTAACTAATGAACCTTATTGTAAAGTGTTACCCATTTCATATTAACAATGTGACATGTTAGCACACACAAATATATATCTGTGTGTGCGTGTGCAATGGTTGTGTCGGTGATGATGATTATGTTAACACTGTGTCAAATCATAGCTATATTGTTTAATGCAGCCAATTAATCAGTCATTCAATTAGTAAATCAATCAATTACTAGTTCCTGAAACGCATTCCTCTACTATCATCACTTGTCAGCAACAAATGATGCGTGGCTTAGTTCGAGCATTTGTCTGTCACCATATACCCCTCTTTGGGTTCCTCCGTCCCTTTCTACTCCTTCCACCCCTTTACCATGTACCTCCCCCACTCTCCACTTTCACCCAATTACCCCCCTCCCTCCCTATCAGACTGCTCCCTCACCCCTTTTTACGGAGTGCCATTATGCTGCGGTGGGTGAAGGGAAGAGGGGGATAACAATGAAGATAAAGAAAGCATGCGGTTAGAGGCTTTTGAATGGCTCCATTCAGCAAAGCCAGCCAAACAGAAAAGCAGCTCTGCTCTTCCAAACGCAGAAGTTTTTCTTAGTACAACTGGGTCTTTATCCTCCGTAATTATATACATACATACATACATACATACATGCACAAGCAGGCTCACTTACTGTAGCACGCACATACAGTAAGCCAGACAGTATATCAGTACATGGTTAATGTCATAGGGTGATGAACATTAATTTAACGTCATTATAATGCTGTCATTTAACATCTGACACCACTGGAGCAGAACACATTTCTCACAATGGATGTTTCTAAAACAATTTCAAGAAGAAGTTCAAAATCTAGATGTCACTTAATAAGAAGTTTGTGCATACATTTTTTTTTTTTCATATTATATGGGGGTTTTGCACAACCTCTGTGACATCTCAAAACTATTTCTAGGTTGAAATGCACTAGTGCCAAAACATCATCTTTGACATTCAATGATATGTATAATTTTAAGCAATTTTAATGTTTTACTCACTTAAATCCTTATATTAACGCTGTGTGTGTGTGTGTGGGGGGGGGGGGGGGGGGGTCTCCAAGCACACACATTTCTGTGGGTTTAAAGTTACTTAAATGAAACATTTTTGTCGGCAGTGCCATTCATGAAATGTATCGCTTCACTCATGGCCCCTCCGCCTGTTACCTCACAGATGTGTAACCCCATCTGAGTGGTCTGTGCTTATTAATAAAAATGAGAGACACACACACACACACATTCTGGACCAAACTGTGTGTCAGTATTTGGAGAAAGGAGGCTCCATATGGGCACTCCTGCATCTCTTTTCTGTGTTGGCAGCCAGGCAGATGTCACATGGTCTAACAGGTCACCGTACACAGACATAAGACGAATAGCTGTGCAGTTCAGACTGCTTGGGGCCCCTCAGCCGTCTGCCAGCAGAGTCCCCAGTTTACCCCACTCCCCACTACACACACACACACACACACACACTATATACATAGATATTTCATGCTAGTTTTGTTATATTACCACTCCCTATTTATAAATATTACTGAAATGATGTTTTTGTTTTTATTCGATAATCTTATTTTTGCACGTTCTTTTTTTATTTTGTTTGGGTGAGTGCTTGTCTCACATATAAAAATAGTTGAATTTGAATAGTGGCCAAAAGTGATGTTTAAATGGGGATATTTGTTTTTAATGACCCTATACAAGTTCGATTAAACCATGAAAATATGAGTAAAATATTTATATATTTTTAGAAATGTTTTAAATCTGAAGAAATAATAAAATACTAAATTACAGGTTTTAGTTTACTACAAACAATAAGTTCACAAAAGTTAGATAAAAGTTCATAATTTATTTTTATTACAACCTGGCCAAAAATTATATACACCTTTGCACCTTTGTCTAAGCCTGGCTAACCAGCCCGTCTCGCTGGGTCGTTCGGATGATCAAACTCGGCTATGCAATTCATTTCGCCCAGCGTCGCCCCAGGTTCAGCAGCGCCCGGTTTACTTCAGTGGAAGTCAAGGATGCTTCTGTCCTATGTGCGGATATCGGATATCCTATTGGTAAAGGAAGCAATACAGCCAGTCCCTCCAGCCGACATGAAATCAGGGTTTTACAGCCCATACTTGATCATGCCCACGAAAGACAGTAGGTTACAACTGATCTTGGATTGGTAGCAGCCAAGATTGGTTTAGCAGAGATCAAACTGAAGGAAGCATATTTCTTTTCATAGCTCAATCCTACAACCCGACACAGACCGTTTCTACATTCGAGGGATGTGCATACCAGTACAAGGTCCTCCCCTTTCGGTCTGTCCTTGTTACCCCGCGTCTTTACGAAGATAGCCGGGCATTCGCATCCTCAACTATCTAGATGACTGGTAACTGACTGGTCAGTTATGCGAACACAGGGACATAGTGCTTACGCACCTCAGCTGTTTGGGGCTTCGGGTCAACAAGGAAAAGAGCAAACTCTCCCCATGCAGAGAATCTCTTTTCTTTTGGAGTTAGACCCTTTCAAAATTACAGCTCGCCTCAGGAACAAAAGTGCCAAGTCAGTGCTGAACTGCTTGAATTCGTTCAAGAGCAGGACATCGCTTCCACTGAAATTATTTCACAGGCTCCTGGAGCAAATGGCATTCATAGCCGCAGTCACGCCACTCGGATTGCTTCATTTGAGACTGCTTCTGGCACTGGCTTCCGCGGGACACACCAGGTGGAAATCACAACAGTTTTTTGTCAGACTTTCACCCCGTAGTCAGACCTTGCTTTTCTATGGGCAGGTGTTCCCCTTGTTCAAGTGTCCAGGCATGTTGTCTCAACAGATGCTTCCAGTACAGGCTGGGCTGCTGTATGCGACGGGCAAGCAGCCTCTAGCTCCTGGACAGTGGGGTCCTGCTGAGTTGCTAGCAGTACACCTTGCCCTGCGCCAGTTTCTTCCATCACTGAGGGGCAAGCATGTGCTGGTGCGGACGGAAAACACCTTGTCTGTTTCGTATATCAACCGCCAAGGTGGTCTACACTCCCCTGACAATGTCGCAATTCACCCGCCATCTCCTCCGGTGGAGTCAGAAGCGACTCAGGTTGTTTTGTGTCATGGACATCCCGGGTCAGCCGACGAGCTCTCATGACAGCATTTGCCCAAGGAAGAATGGAGACTCCACCTCTAGACAGTCCAACTCATTTGGTTATGCTTTGGGTCATTCAGGTAGATCTGTTCGCAACCCACTGCCAGTGGTTCTATACCCTGACCGAGGGGACCCTCGGCATGGATACTCTGGCACACAGCTGGCCTACATAAGTGCGCATTTCCCCCAGTGAGCCTACTCCACAGACACTGTGCAAGGTCAGGGAGGATGTGGAGCAGGTCTCGATGGTTACACCGTACAGGCCCACCCGGAACTTGTTCCCAGAACTAATGCGCCTTTCGACAGCCCCTCCCTGGCGAATTCCTCTTCTTATGGACAGGGCACAATCTGGCACCCAGACTTAAGTGGCCTACCTCCAGCGGTAGTTGACACTATCGCTTCACCGAGAGCCTCCTCTATGAGGCGAATGCGTCTTACGCTTTGAAGTGGAATCTTTTCAGGCATTGGTGTTCTTACTGCAGGGAATATCCCTGTAGATGCATTGTTAATGCCATGCTTTCCTTCCTGCAAGATGGGTTGGAGCGAATGCTGTCTCCCTCCACCCTGAAAGTGTATGTAGCCGCTATTGCTGCACACCATGATGCAGTAGACGGTAGGTCTCTGGAAACACACCTAATCATCAGGTTCCTGAGAAGCGCCAGGACGTTAAATCCTCCTCGGCCACGCCTCATCCCCTCTTGGGACGTCTCCTTGGTCCTGATGGCCTTACAGAGAGAACCCTTTGAGGCCTTGCAGTCAGTAGAGTTTAAAATCCTGTCTCTTAAGACAGCGCTCCTGCGCTCACATCCATTAAGAGGGTGGGGGACCTTTTCGGTCGACAAAGCGTGCCTGGAATTCAGGCCGGCTAACTCTCATGTCATTCATCCTGAGACTCTGGCCCAGATACATGCCCAAACTTCCCACCACTCCTTTCAGGGACCAGGTTGCATTGCTGTGTTCGTGCCTAGCATTTGTACGTGGACCGCACACAGAGCTTTAGAACCGCACAACAGTTCTTTGTCTGCTATGGTGGGCAGCAGAACGGAAAGGCTGTCTTCAAACAGAGGTTGGCCCACTGGATTGTGTATGCCATCGTCTTAGCATACCCTGACGGTCAGTCCATATGTGTAACCCCATGTTACCTCCTTACGGGCAGGATGTGGTCTCTGAAGTTATCGACATTCTCTGTGCACAGCCCTTTCCTACTTCCGCCTCCAAACAGGTGCGGGGCGACCAGCTGGCTT